CTTACCACAGTATCTCTTATTTTAGCTAAGTTTTAGTCAAAAAATTAGCTAAAAGGCTAAAGCTAGCATAAATGCTATCATCAGGTTGCCTTATCTTATCTTGTGGCGTTTAAATGTGACAAAAGCAAAAGTATGAAAATCTGTATGTGTGCAAATGCTTTTGATTAAATTGAGCTGGACAATCTTTAATTGCAGTGAGTTGTGTTAATCTACACTCTCTATGGAATTGTAATCTAACTAGACTAAAATAGATTATATTAGAATGAATAGGACAGAACAGATTTGCATGAATTGGGCCTGTTTGATTTTTCATTACAGGGACCTGAGATTAATTTTATCAAGGATTGATCACATAAAAAAAACATGACATCGGACGCATAACGCATGGGGATCCATGCTAACTGCTAATCTCAGTTGAGCATACAGAACCTTTTCTCAAGTTTTTGCACTTCTCTGGTGTTTGTTTTACTTGTCGGAGCCTGCAAAAAAAAAAAAAAAGAGAAAGGAGGAGGAAAGATAGAGGTGAACGTGAACCTACCCTCTGGCCTTGTGAACTCTCTGAGGGTGGGCAAGGAGAAAAAGGTGTGGGCCACGGAGAGCGTGGGGTCCAGAGCGCAGGCGATGTCGTTGGGCTGACAGAATTTTATACAGCGGACCGTGTCAGATCGTTCGAGCGTCGGAGTTCTATAGGAGAGAATAAATCACACTCTGACTTTTAGGTGCTCTCTATTTCTAGTTTTCAGAGTCAAATACCTTTGCTCTCTAAAGCTCACAATTACAAGCTACTCGAAGAGTTCTGCCCACTACATAATCAAGAACTCAGTGGGATTCCCTCCGTGGCTGCTACACAAACACTGTCTGTTCAGGACGGCAAGGGTGCTGGATTTAGCCCTCAGCATTAGGAATAATCAAAATCCGTGCGGTTAGTAAGAATAATAAACCAGGAACAGCCAAACGCTCGTGCTACAGCCAGACTTTATAGCTTGTGGAGACTCGCGCCGCCGTCGACGCTCTTCTGATGCCCCATGTCACGCTGTGTGGGAAATGAATTACTGCGCTCACAAAGAATGATCCACAACCTGCTCAGGGAAAATATTTGGATTTGCAAAGCATCCCCAGCTTCACATCAGATAATCTCCTGAGGAGGATTTATGTAGCAAGGGAATGTTCTAAAAGACTCCTAAATTGTGAGCAACATGACTCGACAACTCCCCGTCCTCTCCCCCTGGGGCCGCTCTCATCCTATTATTTAGGACTTTGTTTATTCCACAGACTAATCAGTGACAGGTCGGAGACACTGGAGGCTCCCAACGCCAACGCCACCTGGAACATCGCTTTTCACTTCCTGTCTGCTGCAAGAGGAGTTCATGAGATGCTCTGAACGCATTAAGTGCTCATAAATCAGCACTTTGTCTATGAAACAGCGAGGAAGTTTTAAAAGGAAAAAAAAAAAAAGACGCCTTGATGTTAAATTAGGCCGCTCACGGTTGGCCTTCACGGAGGAGAGATGTCAGTCTGTGGTTATATTGGGTTACAAAAACATGAGAGTCGCCATGTACGGGTCAATTTAATGCGCACGGGCGGTCACACAGCCACATGTGAGTCACGGGGCTGTGGATCTCCGGTGCTCCTCGGGGGACCCATCCCACCACAGCTCCAATGGCCGGGCCCACTTGGAGCTGCGGCGCGGAGAGGAGCCCCTCCGACAGAAAGTCAAGCCGGCACTGTAGGGGCTTGTAATTAGCAATTAGCGGGCGGGTCCAAGTTTTGCTTTGGTCCAGGCCAAACCCACAAAATGTTCTACTAGTTTATAACACCGCCGCCTGAGCGGGGCTCTGGAGGACGAGGTGAAAGCTGCTGAGGTAGGGAGTGGATTTATGAGAAGACGGCAAAGAGTGAATGGACCCCCACTGCGCATGGCACTCCTTGCAGCGCCGTGCAAAAATATTCAGAAAAGTTTTTATTTATTTATTTAAATCCTTCACACCAAAATTTGTGTGTATTTCATTAGGATTTTGTATGACAGTGCAACAAAAAGAAAAAAATGCTGACCAAATGTGAAGAGGAAGGAAAGCAATGCACAACTTTCAAAATGCTTCACAAATCAAACTTCAGAACCAATCATGTCTATAAGTATTATGAAGTTTTTCTCTACCAACTTTGTATATACTGAGGCCAAATTCAAACTCTGTCCGACAGGATGGAAATTGTCTGTGAAGAGCTGAAGAGCCATTTTTCAGGTTTAGCCACAGATTCGGTTTGACTGGACCATTCCACCACACTAATATGCTTGAATCTAAAATATCTGGGGCTCTAAAGCTGTCCTGTTGAGAAGCTGGGTGTCTCTGCAGCTCCTTATCTTTCAGCATAAAACATATTTGTATGGCTAACTTAATTTCCATTAAATGGATCGACTTGTTTAAGTAGTGCAATTGTATCACTGTTAAACAAGTTAAACTAAATTTGTGTTCATCCTAATCAACTAAAGTAAATTAATTGGATTGGGTCAATTATATTAAATTGGGCTATAGTGAGTAGTAAAACTTAAATTAAGTTGAACCGACACAAGTGCTTTGAAACCTTTCAATGATTTTTTTTATGTTAATCATAAGAGTTTTGTTTTTTTTAGTGAGCTAACTTCAACCCTCTGGCCTGCTTCTCTCATCGATGTTCTGCCTTGGTTTCCAGCTGTGCCACATGGTTTCTATTTTCAGATGTTGTAGTGAACCAAGCTTGGATTACCGTTTTATCACCTTAATAAGCCTGGAACTTCACCACAACCTCAACCCGGACCTGTCGGCTGTGTTCCTTGCTCTTCACAATGCCATTTGTTCACCAGTAGTCTCCAACGAGCCTCGAACTCTTTCACAGAACAGCTGGATCTATACAGAGACTCGCATACAAAGTGGCTGGATTGTGAAGGGAATTGGTTGTACTTGATTTTGTTGCAGGAAAGATGGTGAACGCAAAAGCAGCTTTGTTATTTTTATCTTTAAAGAGGCAAGCACGTAGAATCATTTTATAGTACAAGCAAGTAACCAGTTACAAAAATGCTGCAAATATCAAATATGACATCAGAAATTTGACTTAGTAATTTACTAATTTGACTTAGTAAATTGGGCTTCTGTCTCTAAGAAACTTCTGCTCTTTCTGAAACTCCGCCTCCAGGAAGTCACCACATCGCTGACACTTGAACAATGTTTTTACCAGCTTTGCAATGACAAGTAGCTCATATAACGAGCACAGGAGATGTGCAGTTCCAGCAGGAGTTTGCTAATTGCTGCTGGCTAGTCTGAAGGAGCAGAGTTGAGGAGTCAGAGGATAGGGCTGCTGTGTGAGGCAGGAGCTTGGAAACTAGACTGCAACTCCAAGGAGGAGCTGTGCCTTAAAAGCGGGGCTAGGTCCAACTAGGCATTTTTGGTTGCCACGGGAGATTAAAGTATTTCTCAAGCATTCATGAAAGAACCAAAACAACACTTCAGGTATGTTTTTTGATGATGTAAAGTTATTTTTTTAAAATAATACTGCCCCTTTAAAACAACAAACATAATCTATCATTTTACTTCTGCATGACCCACATCATAAATTTCCAATAAAATACACTGAAATTTGTGACACCGAACATGCAAGTGGGCACTTTAAAAGCAGGCGGAAATGATTCAAGGCAAAAAATGTCTGTATTGGCCGATCAGTTTTACATTCATCCATGCAAACTTGCTTTCAGCCACATGAACACATGCACGTCTTCGTCGGCACTCCCCCGCCTCACGTGGCTCAGCCGAGGGGAGAAAAAACCCCCCCAACAAAAAACCAATACCTACAGACCAGAAAGAAAAGCAGACTTTTTGCATAAAAGTGCTCTGGTCAAGCTTAGGGCCCTGTGTTTTTTTGGTAATTATTATTTATAGTCGGCACATTGATAACGCCCCAACACAAACACTGCAGGGCATCATTCATTTTGTGTGCGGTGATGTTGCCGCACCACAAATTGTTCAGACCACCGGCCAGAGGCCAGAGCCCCATAACTCAATGTCAGAGGGGAGGGGGGTCTGGTGGGGAGGAGGTGAAAAGGGGGGGACCTGTGCACTGCCGGGCTCTCATTTTAAGCATATCCCTGCTAGGAACCAAGTGCATCCTCGCGGGCCCGACGGCTCTGGACAGAAGGAACCCAGGGACGTCTGAATTTACAGTTAATAAAAGCCACAGGCTTTTGGGCCGCAGCCTCGCACCATGTCAGAGAATTTATACTCATGACTCCCCCCTTCCACCCGGCTCCTTCTTTTACCGCTGCATCCCATCGCATGTCACTTACTTTGCCTGCTTCTGGATTATCTGTCTGCTTTGGGGTCTGCAGCCGCAGTGGAAACCTTTGCATTTCACATTAAATGCGATAGAAGCCAAAAAGATGTGCATGAAAAACAACCGCTGCAGAGAGACGCACATGTGGTGCCTGACAGTAAGAGGTGTGGGAGTAGCAATGAATTAGGCCCGATCTGGTTTACAAACATAATCTGGTCACTTTGGTCCTATAAGTGGTAAATGTGAAGGTGTTTGCATTGATAAAGCTGCACATAGCAACAATGTTAAACCTATTAAAGCTAATTCAATTGTTGTTGTTTCTAAAGCAATTTAAAACGCACACTTTATGGGATTTCAGTTCACAAATTATTACACAGATGGTGGTCACTTAAAAAAAAAATATATATATAAAATTTTATTTTTTTAAAACAATATACCAGAATGGAATACTGGAGAATTTGCATGCACAGCTGCATTTCCTCTTTGCTGAAACCACTGGAATACAAGAAATGTGAAACTATGCGAAGGAGCTCTCCATGCCTACAACTGCGACTTGGCCTCCCACCCTGACGGCTCCCATCGCTGCATTTGATTAGAGCCCCACAATGCCCCATTATCAGGAACAGGACTTGACTTGAACATGTGTTATTTCTATCTCAGTTTTAATAGAAAAGTGTTCATCCAGCACCGCAACCATAAAACGCTGCAGAATGTCAGACTTTATCATGCAACCATTGTCAAGTTACACTCACTCACAGGGCTTGCTGAGGGTTGTTACCGTTTAACCATTTACCCGGACCGAGGACGCCACCTACAGTTGTGGCTGTGACAATGCAGCGACTAAAATGGGAAAGCAACAACACTCCAGAAAGATGACGTTTTGAGCTTAAGTGATTGATCATGTAAAATACTGAAAGAGAAAACTTTGTTTTCCAACTTTAAGTCTCAAGATAGGATTCTTTCCAGACACATAATTTCTCCATAAACTCCAATAATTTCAAGCGACAGTCACTGGTAACTAAGTGATTTTTTTAAAACTTGGATTTAAAGTGTTTAATATGTAATATGTCATCCATGTTTTATTGGTTATTCTTATAAAAATGTCTAAAAAGTCTTACTACTGCAGTAGCATAATCAAAAATGTTCAAACTTTACATTGAGTACATAGTGTAATTAAAACAATAATTATTTTAATAAGTAATAAAAACACTGTAATTATTGGCACCACTAACAACTCCACTAAAAAATAATTATTTGAACTAGGAGAGATGGCATGCCATTCAAGAAAGATGGACGTGATGACGGCACAAAACAGGAAAAGCTCCAAGGTTTACAACTAACCAATAGCTTACAGGAAGTTAGCAAGTGTAGCAACCACCTAATATTCACTTAAGGTTTAATCCTACGTTGTATGTTCCAAAACATTCTCTAGCATTTCGTCTTTACACTGGGAAATCCCAGAGTAAAGAAGAGTTTACATTTTCAAGAGAGTACGTGCAGAAACTGACGTTAACGTTCAGTAATGCTAACTGTGCTACTCATGCTAGAAGCTAACATTTGATGCTAAAGACAATTTAAAACGTAAAATTTGTCCTTCTTTCACGATTCTAATCAATTTCTTACATTAGTGACACTCACGCACACAGTCGGACATCACTTCTGCTCCAGGTAGGCCTCATTGCTGCGAAGTTTTGGATTTGAAAATGTGGAAAATGTTTCGCCGCCCGGAGCGGTGGGGCAGGGGCGGAGACTACATATGATATAAAATGGGAAATTTACCAGAAAATATTATTATGGGAACACGATGGGAAAGAGAGGTTAGATATGGTAGTTTCCCGACCAAAAACTGGAGACTTCACAGGTTGGCAGGTCTGTCACAATAAGCAATAAATCAATTAATCACATGATAAAATGAGCTCAATAATTTCCATTTGCACAATTTATCGTCTTTGTCTTTTTTTTTTTTTTTAAATCTCTTTCTGCCAAAAAACTGGATGACAAAAGTCTTCAGTTTGGTGCTTTGTTCTCAACCAGCCCCTTTCTTGAGCGACAATTTTGTTTACATAGGCTTCATATTTTTATTTTTTGCTTCTGGTGTTCTATTCATTTATTTTGGAAATTTAAAGTGTCTTCCAGTTCCAGTGTTAAATGTTCAATAAAGTTTATTGATCTTTAAGAATGTGTTCTTGGGTTTCTATGCCATTACTGTTATAACACTTGAAAATGGCCTCAAAACAACAATTATTATTGTTTATAGCTTCTGAGAAAATTTCTTTCCTGAAAAAATTGTTATTGTGACAGACCTAGCTCCAAGTATGACCAAGTAATAAAATATTTCATGAGATATAGTTTAATATGAATTTATTTAAGACTTTTTACACCTTGTTGCTAGGGGTGCCAATAATTGTAGAGTTGGCCTGTATCTTGAAGAATATACATCTACATCGTATCATCAATATTATGTGAAACATTCCTTTTCTAATAGTAAACTAATGTGTTTAATCCTCAACAAGTCCTGTGTTTACTCCTGTAAGGGGTTGTATGGTACTTTGGGCTCCTCCTGGGTGACAAACACCAGAATCTTAGCCAGGTAAATGGAGACCGTGCTATAGCGGCGCAGCTTCATCTCCAAGTCCAGCTTGAAGTCCTGCGGCTTGTCGATGAGCCTTCCCACCGACATCACGCCGCCGGTGGGCGTGCGCTCGGCCTTGAAGAACCCCCCCTCGTTGCCGGCCGTGAGCGCCACCTGGATGTCATCGCCAGGCATCGTGTGGGAGGGGCCCATGCGGAAGATATTGGTGAAGACGGGAATGTTGGTGGGGAACGTGAGGTAGTAGTAGGTTATTCTCAGGGGCAAGATCGGGCAAACGACAGTGTCGTTGCAAAGCAAGCGTTCGCATCGACTGCAAGATCAGAGGAGAGGGAGGGGAGAAGGGGTTTCATTTTTAATAACCATGCGTTGCATGCAGTAAATGAAAACATGAATTTTAACAGGGTAACGTCGGTTATGGTGTCGTCTGAGAGAACATGCTAGAGGTTCTTCAAACTGTTGTTTTTACACAATGCTACTTAGTCAGAAAAGTGACAAAAATGGAAGGTAGAAAAATATGAATGTGCATTTCGTCATCTATCTCGACAAGAGAGAACATGCTACAGTCAAATGGATTCTACAATCATTCCAACATGAAGCAGACTGAGCATGCAGGACAATGATTTACACTTATGAATATGGACCAAATTTTAAAAAACAAACAAGTCTTTAGGCCTAATTTGAGCCCTGTGTGATCCACATAAGACCTGCTAATATTAACTTTGTGACAAGATGAGGGCTGAAACAATTAATAGATTAATCGTGATTAATTCAAATAAACGTCATCTAAATAAGTCATCGATTAACCGCTAACTGGAGATAGACTCAAAAAAGGATATTTGCTGAAAGACCAACATATTAAGAGCAGCAATTAACCCAAAACTGTACAAAATTATAACCTTTTGCATTTAAGAAAAAAAGGCTTATGTGCTGAAATGAAAATCTGCAGAAAATGGCGATTTTTAAAAATCTGATTAATCGTCAGAGATTATTAGAAGAATAAACAATTACAAAAGTAATCATTCAGATACTCACGTCTGTCCAACACGCCTGTAGTTGTTGGGACAGTCGAAGGACAGGCACCTGTACCCGCCCTGGATGTTGAAGCAGCTCTCATTTTCCGTGCATGTGTGTCTTCCCGTTACACATTCGTCGACATCTGGATTGGGGAAAAAAAGTGTTTTAAAGAAAAAACACACATTCGCAAATATAATCTGCAACGAACAAAATTCAGCAACGACCAGAATCGACGCCGCTGCTTACCCTGGCAGCTGCGCCCGTTCACTGCTAACGTGTAGCCGTTGGCAGGGCAGGAGCAGTGGAAGCTTCCCGGTGTGTTGTGGCAGCGATAGGAACAAATATGGCCGCCAGTGGGAAGGGCGCATTCATCAATATCTGCGTGGATGAACAAACACCCATCGAAACAAGTCAAAACAGGGCAAACATTTATGTAAATATAAATATTTATTCATTTTGTCAAAGCATATTCAGAAGGCAAGAGCAAGGTCTTTCATTTTACCTTCACATGTCATGGCGTCTATGTCATTGAGCTGGTAGCCACGGCGACAGTAACACTGGTAGGATCCGTACACGTTGGCACATTCCTGGCTGCAGGGGTTGCTCTCACACTCATTCACGTCTACAAAGGAGGAAACATGGTTCTAAACGAAAGCATTCATCCTTATAAAATAAATGTAACTGTAGATCTAAGAACTTTTAATTATTGATTATTTACTTCCTGTTTTCCTAAGGTTATAAATTTGACAGGACAAACAGTCCCATCTCCCCAAACCACTCCATAGTAACCGTCTCCGTTATTATGGAGATGGTCATCCCGTCTCCATAGTAACCATTAGATGCAGCCTACAGTTTGTGCCAACATTTTGTTTGGGAGCAAAATACCAGGGGAAAGTATTTTCTGTGTGGACTTGGCTAAACTCCACCTGTACTTTACCTCTAAAAGTACCAATGTGGAACAGCGTGCTTTGGTTGGTTGAGTGTGAAATTGAGTTTTTTATCAGTAACACACATTGTCATGTCACGAAGGATGAATGTGTAGTAAAGCACCTTGTGCCCTTTCTAAAACCTGGTGTCAGGGAGATGACACCATGTTCATTGTCCACCATATTGTCAGGGAGCCTTATTTTCTCATTTGAAGTGTCACAATGTTGTGACTTAAGGTGTAAGTCTTAAGGTGTATCAATTCACTTTTAGAATTAATAATTGACAATTAAAACAAAACTTTAATATGATGAATATTTTCTCACCATCGCAGTTCCGGCCGTCCCTGGCCAGTTGGAAGCCTGTGGTGCAGCTACACTTGTAGGACCCAGGGGTGTTGTCACATTTGTGACCGCATAGTCGTCCAGGGTAGTGCCTGCACTCATTAATATCTAAAATTAAAAAAAAAATAGAAAACAGATTATAATAGAAGATAAATGAAGTATTCTTTACAGATCTAGTAAGAGCTTACCTTCACAGAGCCGGGTGATGCTGTTAAAGTTGTACCCGGTTTCACACTCGCAGCGGTACGATCCCAGCTGGTTGATGCAAGCGTGGCCTGAGCAGACCTGCTCGGCTCCTTTGCACTCATCGATATCTGCAGGGATGTGCACACAAACTCAGCGGAGCAAAAGCCACGCTCGGTTGCCGCCTAAGCGAGGCGCGGTTTCGCTGTCATACCGACGCAGCGCGTGCCCTCTTCGTTGAGGTGGTATCCCCGACCGCAGTTCACAGAGTTCCTCTGGCAGATGAAGGAACCGACCGTGTTCACGCAGATCTGCCCTCGGTGGCACGGACTCGACTGGGAGACGCATTCGTTGATATCTGGAAACATGAACACAGAGCTAAATTAGGCTGTCGTTTACTTTTCCTCAACAAATATCGTAGAAGTCTTAAATGGCGGCCGGCAACATTAACAAGGTTAACAGATTTTCGTACGTAAATCCTCCCTCAGCTAGCTCAACTGGATCATTTCTGACACTTCTGAAATCTAGTGCTTTACTGCTGTAGTAGTAGTACTATTCAAAAATCTAATCTTTTACCAAACATTGAATGTTTGACATTAAGCTGTATCAGGTCACACAAGAAAACAACACTCTTCAGTATAGATACTGTTACTGAAGATTACAGATGAGCTTTTTTCAGTGTCTGTGTGACTGATCTCACACACAGTGGCATGACGTCGCCTCTGCTCTCAATAAAAATTATGAAAACCTGGTCAGAGAAGAATAGAAAACATTTACTACTCAGTTATTTGAAAGAAAATCAACTTCAGTTTATATCGTCTGGCCAAAGTTTAAAAACAGAGATCAAAATTTAATTCTATTCAGTGCATTTTTAACATCGTCCCTAAACAGCTAAAACACCTGAAGCAGGTCAATCATCTATTCTGACAATAAACTCCTTTCTGCACAACTAAAATTGCCAACGTGTTTCTTTTTCTTGTTTCCTTGAAACATTTGGCCTCTATCTCCGACGGCGTATGAGAGCCATTGTAAATATAAAAAAGGGAGTAAATTTCCACCAAATAAATAGAAAAAAGTTGGACATTTCAACTTTTGGAAATTTCTGAGATTGATTTCAAAATTTCTCTGATTTTCTCGCAAATATTAAAATTTTGGTGCTCAGAAATTTCCTTGTTTTTTTTTTTTTTTCTCTAGAAAATTTCTGAGATTAATCTCAAAATTTCTCTGTTTTCTGGCCCCGATACGCCGTCGTACTATCCAAAAGCTCTGCAGAAAAAAAAAAAAAGTCCTTCACGAAACAACGATCTCACCGATGCAGCTTCCGAGCGCGTCCTGGATGAAGCCCGAGCCGCAGGTGTTCTTCGGGGCGCAGCGGAACGACCCCTGGGTGTTTTGACACGTGAATTGTTCACCGCAGTTGTGGATCCCCGCCTCACACTCATCTATGTCTGTATGCAGTCAAAACAGAAACGCTAACTTACACATCGCACGTGAGGACCAGCTAAAAAAAGAAAAGAAAAAAACAAACAAACAAAGAGGACGCATGCAGCCGACCTTTGCAGTCGTTGTTTTCGGTGAGCTCGTAGCCGGTCCCGCAGCTGACCTCTCTCATGCAGCGGAACGAACCCTCGGTGTTGATGCAACGCTCTCCCCCCCGGCAGTTGCTGGATCCCAGCAGGCACTCGTTGATGTCTGAGGAACCAGGAGGACACGCACCTCTTTATGCCGCCGCTTCCTGACAGGACCGCGCTCCCCGATCGCCTCCTGTTTTCATTTTCAACATTAATTGACGGGATCATTTACCCTCGCAGCTCCTCCCGTCTGGTTTGAGTCTGTAGCCCTTCATGCAAGCGCAGGAGTCACTCCCGACACAGACGTGGTCACATTTCCCTGAGAAACAACGCAGACCAGGAAGGATTGTGTCGAAGCCTGATCGCCTCTAGATAGGGAATCACATCTGTTTGGTTTTCACAAACTTTACCTTTGCATGGATCAACTCCCACTGCTACGTCAGAGCTGCTGTCCTGGTTGGGTACTGCACGACACACAGAGCGTAAATAAACCCTGAACATATTCATTAAATACAAATGGCACCTTTAACCTGCGGTATGAGACGGTAGATCCATATTGATAATAAATGACATCCTAAAACATGTTTCAAACTTAAGGTCTGAGGGCCAAATACGGCCCAGAACAGCTTCTTCTCAGTACAGTTTTTTTTTTCCGAGATTGTGGCAATTCACTCAAAATCAACAAATTTCCACACTTTTTGGCACTAATGCTTAACTGTGAGTTTACTGCAGAAATGGTCAAAAATATTGGGTCTAAGTGATGCTACCTTAGACCCAATGTTGGGTCCAAGTTAGCATACCGCCTAAAATACCAGGCGGTGGTATTTCCCACTTCTACTACACAGCTGCCAAGGCCTTACTTGATGTCAAGTCATAGTCTGTAAACGATGCGGCGAGTGACAGAATGTCACATTTACCTCCCATACATGAGTGCAAATATCTCAATATTTCTTGTGAGTAGTTCTTAATTAGCACCACAAAATTTGTTATTCTGATTGCAAAAAAACACAAAATCCCGGAGGAACTGATCAGTGATAAAGATGTTCAATATTGTTCAATTTTAAGTAGCACTTATTGAATGCAAACACAGTGATTTATTTTGACAGTTTTTTAATGAGTTTTATCAATAAAAACTAATTAAAATGAGTTTTATCAATAAAAACTAATTAAAATGAGTTTTATCACTAAAAACTAATTAAAAAAACTCACTTTCATAATGAAAAGAAGCTTGACAGTGCTTGCCTAAAAAACAAAACTGTTTACTCATTTATGGAAGCTAAAAAGAGAAGGATTTTATGTGACAGACCAACAGGAAGCCGTGCATTACGTTTTGGGTTGTTGAGCCTCTACAGCAGTCTTTTGTCACGATTTTATGTCTTCCCATAGACTACAATTCACTGTAACATGAATTACAGTTAATGCATGTGACAGTGAGGCTGGTGTGTTCATGGTGTCATGCAGTATTAGTTTGCCACCATGTATAATATATGGAATGAAAGCCTGAAAATTTGGTTTCGGTCTCGTCTAGTCACACGTTGCTTCCGTTACGTAAGTGATACTTTAGCGCATGTCTTTGAATCCTGCAGTGGGTTCAAGAAAATCAATTTATCTGCATCTATGCAACAATTTAATATGTTATATCAACAGCACTGTTTTCTAAATCAGCTGTAAGGAATATGTTTAGGAAACAAAACAAATCAGTGAGATAACTTTAACTTAATTCCATTTTTATTTATTTCCTAGCATGCTACTAAGCAGGATAACAATTTTAATAATTTCAGCAGGATAAGAATTTCAATCGGTGCTTTTATAATCCTTTTAATTTACCAATGAAACAAGCATGAAATTATGTGCACGCATGTGCACTCAAAACCTAAGGTTTGCCAGTCATTCCTTTTTTGTGACAATTTACATTATTGTTACAATCCCCAAAAAGCTTGATTTGTCATCTTAAAGTGTTCACTTTGTATAGAAAATATTTTTTATTCATTTCTGTCCTTAAAATTGTTGTCTTCTAATATCAGCAAGGGTTAAATTCAAGGAAAAGCAACCCAAAAACACTATTGTATAGCACCTGTAAAATAAATCATTCGTTGAAGTCACAAAACGCACAAACACAACCTAGGGTCTTAGCATTTTTTTCCCTTTTGTTGCATTTGCATGACAATGAGAATATTTGTCCACCAGGTGGCACAATGTCACCACTCAGACCATTTTGAATAGATTTCTTCTTTTCTTCTGTTTTCCTTCTCCTAGTTTGTTTTCACCCTTCAACCACATGATTCAAGAGTTTGTACCTACATTCAGACTGTCCCAGTGCTGCTGTCTGGTTGTCTGAGGCTCCGTCCATGCAGCAGGCCCGGGACACCAGGCTGCACTGGTAGCCCACGGACAGGTTGTGGTCGCAGGGTATGTTCAGCCCCTGAGCTTCTTTCCCCAGAAGACAACAGTCGCAGCACATCTGTGCAAAACGGAACAGAAAAATAAAGAGAGAAAGAAAAAATGATTCACAAGTCAATCACGTAATCCTACAAAAAAACAAAAAAAAAAACAGATTATCAGGAGTCCATGTTCCAGGAGAAGAAAGCCGAGGAATGAAAACAGGAAAGGGATAGACTGGAGGTTGTTGAAGTGTGACCCAGGGACAGCCTGTTTAGACTTTGATTAAATTTGTTTAAACTCTTTCAGATGGCCAGATAGAAGAGCTCAAAACGGACAGATGCACCAGCTGACATGCTTCAGAAAGACAAACATCCTGGACAGGAAGTCGGTAAGAAAAACAAGAAGACAATGATGAGATGACATCATCCCCCTCTGGCTGATGCGTTCTCAGTCTATCACTGTGACAATCTGTCAGGAAGAAGAGTGATCGCTCAATCGGTTCAGACCAGAGATTCTGAAGAAACTGCAACCAGAAACCCCCCCAGAAGTTAACAGTTTACTTTAAATTTCCCTTAATCGTGAGTATTCCCTTACGTAAAGCCTTGTGACGGACTAGCAACCTGTCCTGATGTCTCACCCAACGACCTCTGGAGATAAGCACCAGTTACCCTAGAACAACAATCGGGTATAGACAATGAATGTTCCCTTAAGTTATCAAACACATTTTTTCACAAGCTTGTTTCAAGTCAAGAAGAACAAAAAGGGCTTTCCAGTCGCACAAAATTTATAGCCGTGAGGCATTGTTACAACACAGATGTAATCAACCAAATTTTTATGACTTTGTACTGTTGGCCAATTGCTTGTTGGTGAAATACAGATTCATCTGGCAGTGTTATGTGTGTGTGTCATCGATGCAATTCTCACTTCAAAAGTGAGCAAGTTTGGATTGCCTCAATTCTTGAAGTTGATCTAAAATGTCCGTATCTGGTCTCGGAGTGAAGCAGGTGACAAACTGTGCGCCGAAAACCCGACTTTAGATTATCTCATCACATCGGTGCAGGGAGAAAGCGTTACCTATTACCCAGATCGCCCTCTGTTATCCACAACATCTGGGGAGCATTTTAGGTGCAAGCCTGAACCTCGCGGGCGATCAAGCAAAGACAAGTCGTTCTGCTGACAACCATCTCAGGAGTAAATGTCCAAACCTGCACTTTAGAGGATTTTTTTTCCTTCTTTTTCTCTCCAGATGTGTTGATGGGTGAAATGTTGTGACAACAGAATGGGTAAGTTTGGGTTTGAGTGTGGCGGTGGCGAATGCAGAAGAGCTAAACAGTGGTTGGCTGCAAGCCTGCAAACAGATCTGGAGTCAGATCTGAATTTATAATCCATCTGACAGCAGCAAACTCAGATCCTCCACGGAGCGGCATGCCACGTCTTGCACACGCAGATGATACAAAAAGAGAAAGACTATTGTTTGATATCTGCTTATAACAAAAATAAACTAAATACATGTTCAGAGAATAAAAAAACTAATTCCAGCCCTTAAAGGGCCAATATTATTATTATTTTTTTTTTTTGCACATTTCATATCACAATCAAGTAAGTTGTTATAAAAATGCTGTGAAAATCAAACATGTCTTAGAAGAAATTTGACGTTGGAATTTAACACCTTGAAATCCGGCCTCTGTCTCTTTAAGAAAGTTCTACTCACTCCAACACTCCACCTTCAGGAAGTCATCACAACATGGATACTCTGTTAACCCGTTTANAGCGTTTTTACCAGCGTTGCACTGAGAAGCAGCTCCAATAGTGAGCTCAGTTCCACCAGATGTTTGCTAATTGCTGCTGGCTAGTCTGAAGGAGCTGAGTGGGGAAATTGTCAGAGAGGGCCGCTCTGTGAGGTGAATGAAAAATCGTATTCAGAGACTTGGAAAAACTAAGGGCACCATTCGTAGTTTTTCAGTATATGAATGTGAAGTAAACAGGTGCATTGTTGGCAGTTTTGCTTCTCTGGAGCATCAAGAGAAAACACAACAACTCCAGAGTTTACTTGAATTTTTGCACATTTTGTCGCATTACACTTGCACACCTCAATGTATTTTATTTGGATTTTCATGTAACAGACCAAAACCCAGCCCCAACTAATATTGAAGATGAAGGATCAAAACGCACAGCATTTTGGGATATATCTTTACCTGCTCTGTACGTCTACAGCAACACGTTTGGTTCATTCTTACACTTAAGGTCAATCAGAATGGATTGAGAACATCACTTTTCAAGTCTTGCCACAGATTCTCGTTCTCGTTTTATTTGCACCATACTGATATTCTCCGGATTATGAGGTATAATTTGTAAATCTTAAGGCATTTAGTTCCACATGCAATACGAACACACCTTTGTTGTCTTGGTCTCGCAGGTGCCGGCAAGCAGAGAATCGCAGACTCCCTGGTCTTTTGCCACGTTGATGCCGGTGGAACACATGTTGTCCTCCAGCACTGACACACAGCACTGCTCCTGCGCTATCCTGCCAGAAGGAAAACCCCCCCAAAAAACATACACAGAACCCCCGGGGTTTGCTTTTACAGTCAATTCTGTCAACAAACTTTATAGAGCAAGCAGCTTTTATGCAGTTGTTTCTAAAGCTAAAACATATCTTTTGGCCTCAAGTGAAGAATTTGCGATCATCAGTGTTTTTTTGTTGTTGGAACATTCTCAACACTTTGTTTTTCAGATTTACAACAGCAAAACCACAGACTGTAATGTGTTTCTACTGAACAAACACAAAGTGTATAATTGTGGAGTGGAAGACAAATGATGTAGAGGTTTTTTTTTTTAAAAAAAGTAATCTATTCATCCCCATGGATCAAGACTTTTGATGCACTCACGGCATAAAAATCAATCAATTAGTCAACCAATCAATCAAATTGGTTACAGTGATGTGAGTCAGCTAACTTGTCAGACAGAAAACTTGACTTGGATCCATAATAAATATAAATATGACATGATTAAAAATGGCCCAGTGCTCAACATATAAAACATTAAAAACCATAAAAAACAATAAAATAAAACAAATGAAAAGCTTGTAGCCTCTAATCTAGAGAAGGAACTTTTTTTTTCTCAAGAAAGCTGAAGCTCAGTCCAGTTAGATTCAGAAAGTAGTTCTCAAGTCTTGCCTTACTCTGTTGAATTTAAGTCTGCACTTTGACTAGGCCATTCATACACATGAATATGCCTTAATCTGAACTTTTATTACATTCTGGGACTGGCTGTGTGTATGACGTCATCGACCTGGTTAGAGGGTGAAGTCCCACTGTTATTTTTAGGGTTGATGTCCTGTCTCAAGTGTTTTCCTCCCTCTTTTTGTTAAGAATCGCCCCGTATTTAGATTTTGGCGGCTTCCTGTGAACTCCAACAAACTTCCTGTGTAGTGTTACGTGGTTCGTCTAACACATAAAATCTCGATAAAACGCTTTGACGCAGACAAGAAGTGGAAAAAGTTCAAGACGTATGACTAACTTCTGCACTCCAAACAAGAATCCTATCATTAGAGAAAGCCACTCGTACATAATAAACCTGCCGATTCCTGTCAGAAAAAGGGAGGTCTGGCCACCGCTTAGGTGACTAACGGTTGCTGGGAAATGCAGTTTCATTGCATCAGCAGCATCTCAAGAATCAGCAACTATTAAGACATCAGTGATGTCATCCTAGAAAACTGCAAAAACTCAGTCAGTTCATACGGACGTTGTAATTACCATCAAAAGCAATATTTTGAAGAGTTTCTACAAACAATAAAAAACAGTTTGAACTCAGATTAGATTTCGTCATGTTGACCTGAGTTGCCTCACAGAAGAATTAACAGACAAACCCTGCTGGATCTTTCTCGTCGCTGTTTCATAAGAAGGAAAGTATAAACTCTAAAAAAGACAGGCGCACCAGGTAGAAGTTTCGTATTACTTTTTCTGCACTTGAAGTCGGTGGGGACTTGGTGACCCAGTGTGATCTTACATGCTTTTCGGATGTGTGTAAGATCATATCTGAGAGTTTCCTCAGTTATGAGCGTTTCTGAGATATCAAGATATCCGAAAGTTTCCTGATATCTCTGAGAGTTTTCTGAATTTTAAGCGGCTGCAGTGAAGGAACAGAAGCGGGAGCTCGCCACTACTTTTCCCCCCAATAAGAAACCGCATCGTTTCTAATTTACGTCAAGCCATACTCCGCTTCTACAAAACCCATCAAGGGACACAGCTGTTCTCCTAATATCCTTTCGTTCCTTATCGCCGATACTATTTCTTCTTTGCTTTTCTTCTTTAATATCATGTTTCACCTCCGAGGTATTCATTTGGTTTGAAACAAGCCCTCGTCTTAATCTTCTGTGACCATAAGCCCGATTGCGTCCACCTCCAGGCCCACCCTCCTGCGCCGCTAATGCCTCCCCGTTCCCAATTTTCCACTCGCACTATAATTTTGAGGAATGTAAGATAAGTCACACTGGCTATGGGAAACGCATTTGCCATTCGTGTTCGCGGGCAGAGGTCTCTGGCCCTTGGAGGCCTTCAACCTGCGGCAGAACACCTTCTAGGATTACAGGGAGACCTGTTATTATCCCATCACTATTAGTGTTTCCTGCTCTCATATGAAGTGAATAATATGTTCGGAGATTTGCGGGAGTAAGGTAAAGATGTTTTGAATTAGGAGAGAGAGAAATTTCCCGGCACAGGCCAAGATCCAAAAGAGGGAACTGACGGAGCGCTGACGGAAAGTGAAACTCTGTGGCAAAAGAGGTGAAGGTTTTCCCGACGCCGCTGGATTAACAAGAACTGAGTTACTGGGATCGAATGAGCGCCTCCTTACCTGCAAGTCATTGAAGAGGAAATGAGGGGGAGGGATGCACAGTCATTGTTATCGTTCGCATGCTTCTGGCCGTTTTTACAGCAATCATCTACTGCGGTGTGCTTTTCTCCTGTGAAAACAACAACAACAAAATAACATGCTTACCAAGGGTGGAAAACTATGAAATCCACCTTTTTGGTAGTAGTTTGACTGGAACGGGTTCAGCTCAAGCTTTCCGAAGAAGCGAGGTGTGAATGACTAACACACTGTGCGGCACCTTGCAAATTATGAAAGGTGCTTTGTGAGGACTTTGTGGTAGGCGGCTGTAAGAACTTCTTGAAACTATGTTGCACTTTACCAAACAATTTTAGGAAAAACGTGACATAGTTGATGCAGAAGAGTTTCAAATTTTCCACACAAAGACAAGAACTTTATGTCTGCCGGGTGAGGACGCTGGGTTCGGGATGGGTTCACTACTTTAACGTGACGTTGGCTTTTTCTTTTTGGAAACTTCTGGTCATTCTTTCAGAAGGGCATTCACGAGATCAGACGCTGATGTTGGACGGGATGGACTGAGGTTAGAACTCAGAAATAAGATCCGAAATCTTGAGTTCAGACTGGAGATGATGCAGGAGCCATAACACTGAATATTTGTTTCCCCTTTTCTGTCAGAACGCTCGGAGCAAACAAAAGTAAAATATAGCTGAAGCGAACAGCCAGTATTATGTTTTTGTAGGACAGAATTTAAGTAAGTCGGTACCAGGCCAAGCAGTCTATAACAGTTCCTACAGAGCATATCATTGTCCAAAATGTCTTGGCATGCCGAGGCTTTAAGAGTTTATTTTGATATAACTAAAATCCCATTCCTGAAAAAACAGCCACACACAATGGCATCGGGTAAAAGCGCTGTTTGGTTGGCAATCGCCAAACTAAGACTTGTCCATCGGCTTTCCAGACAGCTAGGCATGATTTGCCACTCCAAGAACACATTTCCATGGGTTTGGACTCTAGCAGTAGCATACTTTACACCACTGATACGTTGAAATTAAGTGTTAATGTAAAGGGTTTGGGTGAACCTAACCCATCCAAGCCTACTGTAGTCCCTTAAGCTCCTCTCAATATCATGTTATAATATAAAGGACATATAAACTTACTGACTCAAGAAAGTTGGCAGCCTCTTGTTTTTGTGCTTTAGCAGTCGTCCTATCATGGTACAATACTGGAATCCATTGAGCACCAGAGACTGACCCGTTCTTAATGTTTGTAGAAGAGTTTAAACCAGTCGTGTCCAAAGTGGGTCCTGGAGGGCCGGCATCCTGCATGTTTCAGTTCTCTCCCTGGTTTAACGCACCTGGATCAAATAATGGCTCATTAGAAGGTCTAAGAAGAACATTGACCTGCTGAGAAGGTTATTACCAGCAGAGAGAGAACTAAAACATGCAGGACACCCCTGTGCTAATTTCTTCCGCTGTTCTTCTAATTGAAATTACTCTAGCTGTGGTCTACCACTGGTAGAATATTAACTACGCAAAACTATACCAGGAAAACTGGAACTCTGACTCTGGCAACATACAACATGGGAACATCTACCACCATCAGAAAGTTTATACTTCACGATTTATACTTTTTCCGAACGGTTCAGTTCACTCCCAAACTCTCTGTGACGCAGTTACTCCTAATTGAGTCTTGATGATCATATTTGTCTGTCTACTCCAAATAAAAGAAGACTTCATCCTTCTACTTTAATATCCTTGGTAAGATTGATGAACTGCAACATCTTTTACAGTCATTAGGAATTTTTTTTTTATTTTGTCTGAGGCAGAGGGATGATAAATATGTTGTTGCAGACACAAAAGAGGCTTTCGACTGGAGCGCGACCAGCTTTGTGGTGATCTGGCTGCTGATTCATGTGGATTAGAGAATGTGGAATGCCTCAGCTCTGTAAACAATCAACCGTTGCAATCACGTCGAGTACATTCACTTGCCTGTGGTTTGTGTGAACTGCCAAATGTAAAAAAATAAAAAAAAGCTTTGGCAGATAGACTTCTTCTTCAGAAGAATTTTGCCTATGGCTGGAATCAGGATTAGTATGCCATGCTGTTTATTTATTTAAAAAAAAAAAAAAAAACGACTCCCAAGACGGCAAAAAAGGGGATGAAACCAACTAAGTCTGAGATGGGTTTTTATTGAGTCTTGGTAACAGAACCTTGGCTGTGGTTTTTTGAAGAGTGATTGGGAAATGCGCTGTGTGGCTGTTTTTGTCTGGGGGTTGTCTTGGCTGCCGAGAGAGGCCTGGCAGGAGTGAGCAAGTTTAGATAGTGAGAGATTGAGCTGGGAGGACAAGTGTCTGGACCGACACCGCCTGGTTTTACAGCGTTGTCTGTCTTCTTCCGCAAGAGCAGAAGGAAATGTACAACAACCACTAAATGCAAACAGTTTTACGGAGGTACAAGTAATGGCACTCATTACGACAAATAGACTGAAAATTGACAAATGTAGTCCAGAGCCGGTAAGATGTTCACATACAGTCATCATAGGCGAGGTTCTTTGAATTTTGAAATCTTTTTCGAGAGAAGATTGATTCTTAAAAACAACTAAATTAAATTTTTTATGACATGCTTACTGGAGCCAAGCAAGGCTTAACTTGGAGCCACTTGTTATGTTTTCCTGGAATAAGTTTGGTTTTTAAATAATCATTATTCTCTTTTTTACTAAAAATGTTGGAGCTCGTTTTATTTTGTTGTTTTTCTTGGACCTGACTATCAACATAATCCCCTAATTTTAGGAATGGTTAATGTCAGTGCTTCCCAAAAGCCTACTTTTAGCCTACAGTGTCGGTCATAAAACTCATTTTGATGTGTGTCTGCGTTGTCCTTTTATTTTTTTTCTTAAATACCAAATTATGTTCATGTTTCAACTGTCTGGCCCAAATCTATTTTATCTTCAGATAAAATAGATTTGGTTAGAATGTAAGTTTTACACTGCCGATGACTGAGACGGTGCTGACCCAAAAAGAAAATCCTGCTTCGAAACCGACACATTCATGCTGAATTACAATTTGTAGCTGCAAGCATGAAGATGTGACAGAGCAGTCATGCAGGTTGGTGACGGGGCTATTTTCCTGCAACAGAAGGATCTTTTTAAATAATCATTATCCCAGTATTGACAAAAATAATCATGTTTTGTAATGTTTGCCATAATCTTACAACCCTTGGCTTAAGTTATTCCAGGATATTTGTGGGAGTGTACGTATATATTTGAGCCTATTTGCTGTAACATTCACACTGAGTAAAAAGAAAATTTATACAGAATGTGTGTTATTTCTTATTTTCTGACTGATTCAAAGAATAACATATGTTATTCTCTGATATTCAAAATATCAGAGGGTTTGTGATGAAGCTATTCCATCTCACCCAAGCTAAACTGAAACATCACACGTTTTGATCCACAAACACTGCCGCCTGGCATCATGGGTAACCCATCTCTACTCCGACAGGCTCAGGTGTCCTGCGACCGGTTTCTCTGTTTCTATGACTCACGGTCTGTCAGGAGAAGGGCTCGTTTCCATTTTGGACGAAGCTGCTGGTAGCGAGGGCCATTCTGTCCATGCGGAGCAGCACGTGGCTCGCCTGAGTCTAGACGCCTCATGTAAACACAGTCCAGCGAGCCCACTGGTGGAGCTCCGCCCAGGCAGAGTAGCTTGTCTGGAACCGGATCACAACAGAGGACCGGATCGCTTTCCAAGCCGCACTCACAGGACTTTTAATGGGAGCTTTCTGTTTTGCCTGGATGATCATAAAAGTCTTGCACAGAGAGAAGATTGATGGTCAGCACTCACTGGCTCAATAGCTCACTTCCAAAATAATAGCGTAAGAGTGACTGTCCAAAGTAATGTCAAGCTATTGACGTCTTTTTGAGTAAAAGCTTAGAAATCAACCCATGTGCTTTAGCATCCAACACTTTACTGCTTCTGTTGTGTGTGTCAGGGGATAATCATGCCAGTCACCAGACTGCGGTTGTGATTTGAAACTTTTAAGTTTCCTCTCCAAAAAATAACCAACAATTACTTGTTAAACTATCACTGGTTAAGTTAACTGAGAAATCACTGGTCCAGTCACAAAGAAGCTGAATCTTCCTTAAGGTGTTTAGAATCACCCCCAATACAACCGTAACCGTAATAACATGTGCATTATCAGTTTATTTAAATCAGGTATGTTCAAGTAAGGCTGAACAATAAATCAATAACAATATATATCGTGATAGATATGTGATCGATATCAATAGATAAAATGTCTGATAGAACATTCACTGAACTCTGATCCAGAGCAACAAGGCATTCTGGGAGATGAGAAAAAAGGAAAGGCTTTAGCAGCTCAACCTGTCACAGCCGGATAAGTAAAGATGGTGGCATCAACTGACTCACTCGCTCTTTGGTTGCCTAGCAACAACCTGTTGGGTAACTTGCTCAGCAGCAGTTTAAGATTTCACCGCTGTGTCTCTTAGCTGCTTAATAATAATAGTAACTGCAGTGAAAAGATGTCACGTAACCATGAGCTAGAAAGGCTGAAGCCAGCAGGTGGTTAGATATACTTTTGAATTTTTCCTTAAAGAGTCTGAGCCTTCTTTACAGGAAGGCTCAGTAAAGAGCATCTGCTAAGGATAATCTTAGCAGGTAGAGTCTGTGATAGCGCTGGCTATCATCTGTGTTGTGGTTTGTTGGAGCATCGGCTTATCTACCGTTGAGAGGAAGCAGCTAGATAGCTAACCAGGAAGGCAAACTTGGTCCCAGTGTAGGTGGAGGGACACAGAGGAATTAGCCAAGAAAACATCATTGATGCATTTAGCATCTTCCCCATTGTGGGACAGTAAAAGATATTTCCATTCTTCTATTCTGAAATTTAATTTCAGTGTAAAACCACTCAGAAAAATGTCACTCTGTATCAGCAGTTTTATACAAGACAATTGTGATAAACAGATATTTAACAAATCCAAGTTGCTATCTTAAGGTTTGATTAACTTTTTGGGGGGCTCACCTCACCTCCGCCCCTGGTGTTTAAATCCTATCAACACCCCTGTCCTAGTAAGACACTAACTTAGCATTCACATGTGACATCAAACACACACATTGCCTTTGATTTGCATGGCAGAAGGAACTGCAATTCACACCTTTTATAAATCAGGTAGGCAATGATTTAAACCAAAGGTGCTGACGCTGAGATTAGCTGCCAGGAGAGTTTTCTGTACCATGGTTACATCAAGGTAGTAAAACAGGGGTTTTCCATGGAGATCTGCAGCACTTTGAAGCCCCCAGCTTTTCATCACAAGCCCCGACTAGTCCCTAGACACAACCATCACTTCCTCAAGTCCCCACTCTGTTTAATCTGCTTCTGTCTCTAAATACCTTCTAACTCTTCCCGTGCAGCGCTCTAATACATATATTTTTACACATCAGCGCCAATAATCTCGTGCACTTTTGTCCCCGACATAATTAAAAGTCCTCGCACGCGGACAGCCTCCTCCACAAAGGTGACTTTACCTTGTCCGAGGAGAAGCCCGAACAGAGAGCAGAGCAGCGCCACACGCAGAGCCATTGGGGGACTCGAATATCAGCCGCAGGAGGATTACAGAGGAGTGTTACACACAATTTTAAAAAATAAAAAAATAAATAAAAATGAAAAAAAAAGAGAGAGAGAGAGAGAGAAAGGTGCCCGATAATGACCGATCCTGCGAGAGTGTTTGTTCCTTCGGGAATGTGTGGATAAACCGCAGCGCTTCTTTTAAAAAGAAAGGACCGAGTGTGTGGAGGAAAAGAAAAAAAAAGTGGATGTGATGGAGCTGGGAAGCCGCAGCTCGCAGCGTGACTGGAGCGTCTAATGGCACCGTGAGGGGCGGGCTGGGGCCACTGACACCCACTTGTTGCTCATCAGTTACAGGGTAATCTTTGTTTGGTTCGACGTTATTTTAACACGTTCGTTGTCCCTTTAAGATTTTATTTTTGCGTCAAATGTAATATTTATCCGATTTCTTGTCGCCACTTCTGTTGTTGTGGTTTTTCATCTTTATTATTGTACTGCGCATATGTGTCAAAGTCAAGGCCCGCGAGCCATATTCTGCCCACTATAGATATTTCCATGGCCCTTTAAAGTTAAATAGAACTTCCTGTCGCCAGTTGTGCGCTTAAATATTAGTTTTTAACTAAAATCAATTTTTTTATTTGTACGGTGCCATATTATTTCAATAGCAATTTTAGAAGTACTCATCGAATGCAGATGAAGTCATAATAATTTAACAATTTGTATTTGATGAAAAAGGGAAATGAGGTTTTCAAGTGTCCCGAAAAGCGCTTTGAAAAAATAGATCATTACTACAAATCCTCTTTTCTCTAAATGCCTCCGGAATGTCTCTTTTGTCTCTCTTCGCCGTGTCCTGGAGCACACGTGCACACATGGAAATTGTCTCCTCGTCAGTGGCAGAGCAGAGAGACCTTCTGTGTCCGTGACTAACGATTCTAGAGATTAGTAAACATCTGGAGATGGTTTGGAGAGCTTTGTGAAAATGTGTTGCGGTTGTGTCCAGAAGTTGGCCCTTTTCAAAGCCGGTGGAAGTTTTAGACATCAGTTATACGGACGACAGGGACATAAAACGTCAACAGTATCGGATGTCAATTCTGTCGCTGCGCTGCCTTGCAGAGGCATCCGCGCCACTTGAGGCTTCCTGCATTTTGCCGCATTCCAGCCACAAACTTTCATCTGTTTGATTGGTATTTTAATTCAGTTCAAAATATTTTATTTGTCCCAAAAGGGAAATCAAATGTTGTCATGACTCATATCATCCAAGTAACTTTGACGAGTCATTGTGGTTGGTGATGCTGCAGGAATAACGGATCTCCAGTATCAGTCAGCCTTGCAACGAATCTGAAGAGGCCTCTGACTGAAGGCTGTTGAGCTATCACAGTCTCATGATATCTGGGCTGCAGACATGAAATACCACATTAACATTCCAGATGACACTGTCAGCTGTTGCCAAACGCTGCTAATCCACCTCATTTGCTTTTGCCACTCCCCTATAAATCTCTGTCTGGCTGTAAGGTTAGAAAGATTTTGGAGTTGAGGATGAGATTCCTGCTCATTACGACGAACGGAAGAGCTGGTTTGACTATCTTTCACCCTCTGTGTTTAGTTCGTGGTTCAGGTATTATTGGAGCCTTTGAGATGCTAATCATGCTCTCGGTTGTAAAAAAAAACGAAACAAACAATACCTTACTGCCATAGTTACACGTCGTAACAACTGGCTGAAAGTCAAAAAGTAAAGGCGTCCAAACATGCAATACTTGAAGCATAAAAATAATAATTCTGAAAAAAAAGTCTACAAAAAGAGCAAATCAGAGCAAACTAACTAACTGAGTCACTTCAACATGCTGCCAACACGAGTGCTGCAGTTTTAGAATCTATGGGATGTAGACCAACGCAACATCACTACAAAGCAAAAGGAAAATATTAAATGGTTTAAAATTTGTTTTTACTAATACAATTAGAAAAAAAGGTACTATGAATGGCTTAGATAAAAGGCATATTCATGTGCCAGATTGGCCTAGTTAAAGTCCAGAGCGGAATCAAAAACAGAAAATTTGAGGGAAGGGTTCAAAATCACGATGCTCCATGTTCGACCTGACTGCGCTCGCAAAGGACGGGCAAAACTGTGAACTGGTAGAGACAAAACCCTCAAAACACTTGCAGCTGTAGCCACAGATAAATGTAGCTCTGCAACGTTTCCACTCAACGGTCTTGAGCACAAACACATTTCGCACCTTCAGGCTTTTATTTGCAAAGACCTGCGAAAACTATGCGCATCGGTTTCTTTCGACAATCGTACGCTGCTTTCTTTTCTGTTACGTCAAAAGCCCCAATCATAACCCGCCGATTGTCACGAAAGGTGCAAATACTTTTGCGAGTCACGTCGTCGTGTCAGAGATTGTTGTGAAGAGGCTGAACGCCTTTGCCCCTCCCGCCCCCCCAGCCCAGCATCTCCGCGGTAGTTTCACGGTTCCCTTCAGGCCCACAACTAAGCCTATTTTTCTCCATTAAAGTTAATAAGTTAAGGCTTTTTGTAACGGTGCCACCAGCTGGAGGGAAAAGGTGTCTGTCAGCCAAAGTGATTATGGACTCTGAGAAGGGTCTGGGTATAAACAAGCTGCTCACACACACACACACACACACACTCATGCATACTCACGTACACACTCGCCTGCCAGACTTGGCAAGAGGTGCAGAAATAATTGCTAGACTGCATTCAAAATATTTTGTACCAGCTAAGGCCCTCTGCAAATTCAATCAGTCTACTGATTCTGGGCATGCTGACAGGAGGAGGTTAAACGATCCTCTAATCAGAGCCAGATGTCTCCTCCTCCTCCACCAGCAGCAGTCTAGTCGGTCAAGAAACATCGGTGTGGACTCGGTATCATCAGGGACACGGGGAAAACCGCAGCGACATGACAGCGAGAAATAGATAACTGCAGTGTGAAAGAGGAAAAAGGCTCTGCTGTGCTGGCTGCCACTACCTGGGTTTAGTTGGTAATTAAAGTCAGTTAATAGTCTTTCTTAGCATGACCACACTTTATAAAGTGTTGTCCAAAAATATTTATATGTCTTTGAATGTTTGAATTTTAAAATCTTAACTATAAAGCTACTCATATATTTATTTTACTGGAATTTTATGTGAATAAATAAAACAATGCACCAAACAAATGTGAAGAAGAAGAGAAATAATAAATGGTTTTCAAGGTTTTTACAAATAAAAACGTGAAACGTTTGACACCTGCCTTTTTGCCTTTTGAAGTATCTCTAGAGGCGTTGCTTATTCTTCTTTTCAAATCTTACCCCATATTTTTTTTTAACATTATTTAGATCTGTACTTTGACTGGGCCATTCTAAAGCATGATCTAAACTACTCTTCTCTACTCTGGCTAGAGAATGGAGCTCCAACTTAAAAAAGTGAGTTAATTTTGTTAAGTGATCACATTTGACAAACTTAATTTGTTTATGTTCAACATGACTACTTAAACTTAATATATTGACTTAATTTGATTACTTTTAACAAGAAATGCCCTTTATTGTCCCACAGTGGGAAAATTTCAGTGCAGCAGCAGCAAAGTGGGAGGCGATCCCAACGAATAAACTACACAAAGACAGAATATAAAATGTAAATAAAAGCAGAATAAAGAGTAAAACATGGGCAAGATTTAAAAAATAAATAAAGTGTAATTTTAAAAAAAGACAAAAGTCCAAAGAAACGTTGCGCTGGGTTGGTTAAATTAAAATAGAACAAAATGTGCCCATCTCACTGAGCGTTAAAATACAGACTATTTACAATTAGTGACAATAAAAAATTGTACAGCAGTAAAATTGAACAGATACCAGCAGAGATGTAAACACTTACTGTTGGGAGCAGTGACTGTTATTGAGTGGAAGGATCTGACAAAGACATAAAGAATCTAGAAGCTGTCTTTTGAATCTATGGGAGGTGATCAGTGAGAAACATTTGAGAACAATCAGTAGAACGACTGTCAGTGCAACAAAATCTGAAGACAAACACTAAACCTAAAAGAACTACAAAAAAGAGTGAACTGTGAATATAATAAACTAAAATGCACGAAAGTAACTGAGCAAAACTTAAAGAATCACAGTTCCTGACAAAAGCAGAGGTCACTGTTAACCGTGTGTCGTCTTTTTAAAATGCATCACATTCTCAACTTGTTTAGTTTTAGAGAGCCGTGCTGTTAGAACCGCAGAGCTGCTGCAAAGGATAAACAGCAAATTCATTACATGAATTAACAAATCTGTCAATCAGTGTTTTTTTTAATCCACTTTAATGGCCAGACTTTAATTTTTCTCAAAATAAAAACCCGTACATGCTGTGGAAACTAGAAGCTTGTATTTTAGACTGATAGGTATTTTCTCAAACCTACATAAAAAAGAAAGAACCACAGACAGCGTATATGAGTTTTCAGCCAAACTTCTGCAGAAGGAGAAGACACGGTGAACTGCTTCTCCAAGCCGCTCACCATGTGTTCTGAAAACCTTCAGTTTGTTTGTCTCTTTTATTAGCAAGAAGGGTGTGAAAAGGAATGGAGGGGGTGAAACCCCACATCCTATCTTCACAGTAGGATGTGAATTCAGAAACAAAGAGGGGAGACACAGAAATTTAATTAACACACAGATAGGTTTACAGCTCAGGAATATCCCAGGAAGATCTAAGTCACCATCTGTAAAAACATGTTTGAGATTAAGGAAGATTTAATTGTGTCTCCACAGTTTCAACAAATTTGAACACTAAACTTCTAAATAGAAAAACAACTAGTAACATAAAATTACAAATGTAAGAATGATAACAAACATAATTCTAACATAGACTGTTTCAGTGAAAGCCTCGGCAAACTGAAAGAAAAATCTGGAAAATGTTGCTTTTTATTGCAATAAAAGACAAAATCACTAACAAATTAATAAATTGGTACAAATTCAACTGTAAGACTATATCAGTGTCAAAAACCCCTCCATACCTTCATTAATATTTGTACGATGCTTTAATGTTTCCTGAACAGGTAGTCGTCGAAAACAAGAATTTGCTCTCAATCAACTTACCTGGTTTAATAAAGATTAAATAAAATAAAATAAATTAAGGAGCACATTTTAATGTGCCTGAAAAGAAAGAATCCATCTGAATAGAAACTCTTGGATGACAGAAAAAATTTATGTAACACAGGTTTATAATAGTTTGGGGGATTTTACTATAATTTAGCTTTATTTTGTTGGGAGTTTATATTTGTCTAATTCAGTTAATTAGTTTTTAGAGTGTCTGCTAGTT